CAATTTAGCAGCCAAGTCCGGGTATAGGTTTCACAAATTCACTTTGGTCTTGTCCTAAATCCATTTTGTTAGTTTGAGACAAAACTGTGGTCAACTTATTCTAGGCATTTAATTAATTCTAACCTTGATTTTTGTGAATAACGAAAATTTGTACTCGAAAAAACTACATTAAACATTCCAATAAAAACTTTTAAAATGAAGTCTTGCAATAAATAATTGCGGGTCTCGCACACTGATCTCATAATACACTGGATTTAGCAACCATGTCTGTCAGAATTAATGATTTCCGGAGATCTAATGTCAAAGGATTAATCCATCATCATTGGAACCCTGAGGTTGGCCTTTCTTAGCAACTATAAATTTTAATAGTTAGGACTTTAGTTTGCATCAAACTCTAAATCAATCTCAAAGTCTCGAGTCATTAGCGACTTTAGCGACTCCACTAAAGCAATATTTCTCTCTGTTCTGGGTCACCGAAATAGCCAATTGAAAATAATTTTTCTAAGAGTTTTGAGACGAGATACTTCAAGACTTAAAAAATTCAAGACTTAAACTGCACAGGAAATATTTAAAGAAACAAAAACAATTACCAGCAGGCAAAAAACCCCGGGAAATTTTGAAATATTTTTTAGATATTTCCCTTTAACCTAAAGTCTCGAAATTTCTACACGAAATACAACTTTTCAATAGGTTAATTTCATATACGGCTTAACATTTGGCGTTAAGTATTTCACTTCTTAACTCAGAAAAAGTAAAAAGCAATGGCTTCAATTTTCCCTCCTGAGTTATCGTTTCAGTTTGTTTACAGTTAACTCGTAACATGTATATATATAACCCATGTTCTGATTGGTCTGAAGCTCGTATTTGGATCAGGCCATCCCAAGACGGAAATTCAAATGTTTGCTGCGGATAATCTCACGTGACGAGATTGATCTTTGCTGGGATAATTAACAACTGTTTAATATTCAGTGTGTGAATGTGAACTTTAATCAACATACATAATTCGTTCACATGAATCAAACTTGTTGGATTCAATTAACTTCTGACATATTGAATATCGTCTGTTATTGATAAAGCCATATTCACTAGTGCATTTGCTGGCCATGAACATCATAAGACAACAGACTATTAAACATCCGTCCGAGGTGAATTGGATCTAACAAAATTGGATCGTGTGAACAAACCTTTACATCGCTATGTGTGGGTCGGCAGCGTTTACATCAATCAACAATGCACTCAGTAATGCATTACAAACAGGTCCATATATTTAGTGCTAAAGCTAATGTACTCCTATATTTCGTGAGTCATTGGCATCGTTAAGACTGAAGACTGGCGCCACTGCAGTTAACTGAACGATGTATTGCCCTAACAACCAGAGGAATTATTCTAGTTGTCGCATCTGTTGCTTTGGCCGGAACTTGTTCACCTGTTTTAAGCCATCTTGCGAATGACTCACAATTGTTGTTAACTGTTTGAAATCCAGGCCATGTTGAAGGCTCTATCAAAACTTCTTCTGCCTTCTTCAACGTCTCTTCGACCGGTAGGGTCTTGACGTGATCATTGTATTCAACTCGATAGAGTTTACCATCTGCGGAAGATTTCAAAACTTGAAGTATATCGTATTTCTCACGATCAGCATCAAGCATGTTAGCTCCTGAAAAGTAACCCACTTTATAATTCCCGAGATACACACCATATCGATATGTAGACTCTTCTGGTTTTGATTGTTCATTTAAAATTTTATGTGCAATGTGAGTTCCTTTTGGTAAAGATTTTATTTCCTCAATCTCGACTAACGTGTACGGTTCCGACATACTAGACATGTTTCTCCGCAGTTTCGTTTTGTGGAAGGTATTTGCCTAACAGTAGGATATCCACATTGCCATCACAACCGTAAATCAAAATGTCAATACTTGTTAACATAACAATTAGCAAGCACTAATTGAATAAAGCTGGTGAATTACTGTTGATTGAGTAAAGCTGGTGAATATGTTTCACTGATGACCTGAGATAAAAGTTTTTTCTGTCATGTGGAATATTACCTTTACCCTTTTACTTTATTCTTCTAAATTGCTACTCTCCAGAATGTGATTTTATAATAGCGAGGTATTTTGAATTTAAATACCGGAATTTCCTGCTGATATTCTTAGAAGAATGACCAAGTAGAGCATGATCAGGCACATAATTGCTTTAATTGTTGTGAATACACAAAAGCAAGCCTTGAATTTCAAAATATCGTGGATTAATATGAGTGCTGATTATATTTTAGTCGAGGTTAATGAAATTGGAAATTTGCCTCCAGGAACCCAAGTTGCAGTCAAAGGGCGTTATGAAGACCTACATTCAACTTTGGCTTTCTTTTATCCTCTGTTTAGTTCCGAAGAGTATTACTATCATCATGGAGTGTATCTTGGCAATTGTAGCGTGATTCACTTCGCTGGAGAATGCAAGCTTAAAGCGAAACCTTGCACATGTGATATATTAAGGTTCACAAAGCTTGCAGTGGATGGAAATCTATATCGTGTGGAATATAACAAGGAGGTTGAGACTTTTCCTGTCGAAAGGACTCTAGAAAATGCGAAAAAAGTGTTAGAAAAACCTTCAATATGGCCGGGGTATAATCTTTGCAACAATAACTGTGAATCATTTGCGACATGGCTCCTGACTGGGGTGAGACGCTCTGCACAAGTTTCAAAAGCAGTGAATACTGTCATTTCACTTGCTTCTGCTTTGACCGTGGGGTCTTCCGTTGTGTCCCCACCAATAGCTCTTAGTTCTGCAGTCACAGCTAGTGCTGCTAGCGCTGGCGCCGTCCCTTCGTTGATCTATCCGGATAATCTAGAATTACCCGACGCCAAAAAATCGAAATAACTTACGGAAAGCATGAAAAGAAAATGCCACTCTTTATATAAATAAACGTTTATCGGGATCCAAGCGATGTTCAACTCTAGACGAACTATATACTTTTACGCATATTTTATCTTCAGACTAAAACAAAAGTTACGTAACCTATCCAGCGAGATTTAAATCGTAATTTGCGGACAAGTTCAGCTCGAAAGATGATCTTCTTCTCCAGTACAAATCAGACTATTGATGAAAGAAAATACACCGAACTAATTATTTATTTCTTGTATAAAATGTGAAATTATGAAATATAACATAATTATAATTGAATCGTATTATGTGTAATATTTGTACAAAAATTTTTTATTGAGTTATATTACAAGAAAAAAGAAAACGTTTTTTCATGTGTTTCTATACAGTTATAGAAACACTTGTGGGAGTTTGGGAGAACTCGAATTTGATTATCTCTCGTTTTACCAAACTCCCACGCGTGTTTATATAACTGTATATGGAAACACGGAAAATATTTTCTATTTCTTAAACGTTTGAACCTTTATTGTGTCAAAAACAATGCTTATAACTGCCAATTGAGGACTGACAATATCCATTTTTGGGTAGAATATTTGTTAATCTTTGACTTTGTACCTGTCCTTGAAATATATAGGAATTGCTGAAAAATGAAATTTATAATAATATAAGAGTCAATAATAAGACGTCTGTCGGTTACATAGTAAGTTTTACAGTCTTCAACCACCTGGCATTGTTTCTTTCTATTCGCATTGTTGCTCATCGTGAACTATGTTTCTCTTGCCAACCGCTTAGCGACGAATGGCAATACTTGCAACAGCAGAAGAACTAGCAACAGCGCCGACAACAGCAGCGGCCAGAGGAATTATTCTTATCTTTGCACTCTTTCCTTCGGCTCTTTGACTCTCCCCTGTCTTCAACCACGTAGAAAACGATTCACAATTGTTGTAGATGGTCTGAAATCCTGGCCACGTCGAAGCTGTTTTTAAAACCTCCTCCGCGTACCTCATCGTCTCTTGAACCGGCAGTTTCTTGACATCATCGTCGTATTCAACTCGATACAGTTTCCCATCCGTTGCCCCCTTCCAGAATTGAAATATATCACATTCGCAAGGCTTCGCATCTTTCTGATTTGCTCCTGCGAAGTGGACCACTCTGCAATCGCCAAGATACACGCCATGATGGTAGTAATACTCTTCAGAACTGAATTCCGGATAAAAGACCTCTAAAGTTGAATCTAATCGTTGATATAAACTCTTATATGCAATTTGAGATCCTTTAGATAAGATTCCTATTTCTTCAATCTCGACTAATGTATACGGTTTAGTGTTAGACATTTTCACAGCTTCTTATAGACCAAGTGTCGTCGCCAAATTCAATAATGAAAGTAGTTTCGTTTTGTAGTTGTAAATAATGTGATGCATCTTTGTATCTGTATGCGATAAGTGCGTGGGCGCTGTTTCTGCTGTGTTTTAAAAATAATCATGAATATATTTAACCCATGAATGGACCACATCCATAACAGACTAAAGGCGATTCTCTATTACCGTTCGCTTCGCCCGCGCGGGCGTAGGGGCGCTTTCCATTAAGCGGCCAAAATGGTCAGACCGGTGGAATTTTGAATTGAAATAGAGTATTTCGTTAAAAATATAGCGGTGAAACTGCATCTTCCCTCCTAATCAGAGGTAAATAACATTAAATCTGAGTGCAGATTTCTTAAAACACTCTATAAAATACCAGTAATCTGTCTGTACTGAAACACAACTGACCGTTTTTACCGTATGAAGGAAAGCGATCTAGGGGCGCTTTCCATTTGCACGGCCAAACTGGTCAGACCAAAATTGCCATATCTAGTTTTATTGGAAAGATCGGTGCCGGATAACCGGATTTCTCGTTCCCAGACCTTTTGCCTTGTAGAAACCGAGACAGAAAATGTAAGAAATTTCAAGATGGAGGACAATAATGTGGTTTTCATGTTTCTTAGCTTTTTTGGCGATGATTTTGAAGAATATTTTACAGTTTTCCGTACACACTTACCAACAGAGATCATAGGGCTACTTGCGTGTTTTATCCGGAGAAACTTGGTTAGAAACAAATATTATTTTGAGGAATTAATTCCTCAATATCAAATGGATGAATTTAAAAATCATTTTCGTCTTGAAAGAGGGACATTTGAATCCCTAGTGACAGTCATTGTTCAAACAGGATACCTTCCAGTTGCAAGTAGCTCCAGGCGACCTATAATTCATCCTGCAAAGCAAGTTTTAGTCGCAATATGGATGCTAGCGAATCCGGAGTGTCATCGAAGTGTGGCGGATAGATTCAACATTACTATGAGCAGTGTTCACAGATGTTTGCACAGAATTTGTGAAGCTCTGGTTAGTGTGAGAAAAGAATTCATTCGCTGGCCGCAAGGTAATGAACGGAGAAGTTCATTATAATATGATATTCGTCGTTGGTCAAAGTTCACTTCCATATAGACATAGTAACTACTACGTTTTCTTTTTGCGAATATAATTTTCAGATGCAAAAGCCAACGAAATCGAACAACAGTTTGAAGGAATAAAAGGTTTTCCTCGTGTTCTCGGCGCTATTGATGGAACACATATACGAATAAGAACACCAAGTGACTATCCAGATAGTTATCTTAACAGAAAAAGATCTCACTCTGTTATTATGCAGGTACAAATATACCAATCACCATTTAAGCAAATTGATGCAAGTGAATAAGATGTTTTTTATTTTCATGAAATTTGTTTCATTGTAATCAATTATTACTCATTCAACTTTGTTTTTTTTTACGAAGGCAGTTTGTGCCCACGACCTAACCTTCACAGACATTTATGCAGGCTGGCCAGGCTCAGTGCATGATTCTAGAGTATTAGCAAATTCACCTTTACATGCTGAGTCTATGCAAAACCACCACTTCCTTTTCCCAGGAGATGGTCACCTTATTGGAGATTCAGGTTACCCTTTGCTAAGGTATATATCTAATAACATAAATTTGGTAACCTAAAGTAAGATATTAAAAGTTAAAACCTTTAACCCTTGCCCCTTTTCTCATAATGAATTGGTTCTTATTGGTTTTATAATTTTGAATCTGAATTCACATTTCTGAGGCTGACTGATATATATACCAGATAAACAATGCAACTCTATTTTCAAGAGATAAATGAAATTTTGTATATACTTTATTTTTATATAGATGGCTAATGGTTCCATATAAAGACAATGGTCATCTAACAGCAGCCCAGAAAACCTACAACTTTAAACTTTCTTCAACTAGACAGGTCATTGAGAGAGCATTTGGCTTATTAAAAGGGAGATGGAGGAGATTGTTTTATTTGGATATGCTTTGTCAGAAGAAGATTGTTTCTGTTATTGTTGCAGCTTGTGTTTTACACAATTTCTGCTTAATGTAAGGAGAAGACTATGAAGAATTTCTTGCTGATGTAAACAGATTGGACATTGCTGGCGGCAATATTAACAATGACATTGCTGGTGACAATATTAACCAAGACAACCAACTGGCAGCTGTTAAACGAGATGTTCTCAGAGATTATTTGTCATTGTAAAAAGGACCAATATAATAATTACAGTCTTGTAAAATGACAATTATATTGAAAAATAATTAATTAAGCTATTTAGGACCATGTATTTACATTGTTACAATTTTTGTTTAACAATTATATTAACATTCAAGCAATTCAATATAAAATATGTAAAAGCAATTATATTTGATACATGGTTTCTGAATAAATAAATGTATATAATACTATAAAATATAATAAAATATTTTAACTCAACAGTGAAGCAGAATATTCAGTCAAACATGGTGTTGCCTCTCCATTAGTGTGAGAAACCTGTTCATTATATCCATTTTATCATCATGCATTTTTTGCAGCATATCCATTTTTTCTCTTTCATTCGATTTATTTTCTGTGGCATAACCACTCAAAAACTCAACAACAGCTGTGGAGGTAGAGCTGCCTCTCCTCTTTTTTTTCTTTTTACTCCCTTCTTGTACTTCCTTATCATCTTCATCCTCAATGCCAATGGTATCTTTTTCATCCCCTATGGTACTCATTGTACATACAGGCACAACATTTGGATTGTTTCCAATTACATCATCCATCAAGTCATAGAACTCCCATTCCTTGCGATTATTTCCTGACTGGCTGTTGTGAAGCTTTACGTCTTTATACTTTTGCTCAAGTTTTTTCCACTTACTCTGACACTGATCACCAGTCGTGTAAACATCGTCAATCTCCTCGTTGAATTTCTCCGCAACTCGCGCCCAAATTACTTTTTTCCTTGAACGTCCTGTGTTGAAAAGCTTCTCGTTTTCTTTCCGGATGGATATAAGTAATTTAGTGTACGCAGACGTCCACTTTATTAAAGGAGTTGCATGGAAAATATCGCCGACTGTAACTTAAAACGGATAAAACAAAATATTAATGCCATTTTCAATTCATTGCTGTTTGCAAATGTATAAAAAACAAAAACCACAATACTGCTTCTCTTTTCGATCCTCTAATACATGTGAAGGATGCAAATTATTCGAGAAATATAAAGCAAAATGCTTACCGTTTGTCACCTCCGTCCTCTCCGCCATCTTGAATTCCGTAAGGCGGGAAAAATGGCCAGATTGGACTTACTTCTGGTCCGGTCCAAAAATTCCGGTCAGAACGGTCTAGATATTCAGAGGTTTCGCATTCCATTTAACAATATAACCGATTTTACCAGTTTGGCCGTGCAAATGGAAAGCGCCCTAGGTAACAAGCTAAAATTCGTATAATTGCCAAGTTTGGCTGCAAAATGTGACGTAGTACAGAAAATATGAACATGCGATGTAGGCAATTTTTGTTTTACCATTTTAGCCATGCCGTACCAAAAACTCGAGTGTAGTGTAAATGATGGGGCTTAAGGAAGATGTTACACAGTGCAACTTTCCTTGCGACTTGCAATGCAATTCTACTCCTGAGGCATCTAAAGTTTTCAAATACGGATATTTCTTACGATCTGCTAACGTTTTTTTAATAACCTCTAATGCTGAACTGAATGGATAAGTTCATAATATAATCTAATCATTGCATAGCGCCGATTTAAATATTTAGCTAAATGATAATGGCAGAAGCGTTGTGGCAAACTCGAGAAAATTTCGCGAGGTCTAGCGTCGGTTTATTTTGCTCCGGAAAGATGAGCAACTCGATCTACAAGATACACGCCATGATGGTAGTAATGCTCCTCAGAACTAAACAGGGGATAAAAGAAAGCCAAAATTTTATCCAGGTCTTTGTATAAACCTTTATAAGCAATTTGAGTTCCTTCTGCAAGAGTTCCGAATTTCTCAATCTCCACTAATGTATAAGGAAGTTGCATGTTTATACGCTTTAACTAAGGAATGCGGAACCGCTTGAATTGAGAAAGATATAAGTAAATTTCTCTTCGTAGTATATTGTTTTGATTTTATAATTTGTAAGCACGTAGAATCAATGTTTATTTCCTGGTAAAATCACTTCCGGTTATCTGAGGACTGGTATTGCGAAATTTGCTTTATTATCCAAAAACTGAAGTCTTATTCTGGAGTGTAATAACCGTGATTAGATAGTTTTTATTATGTTTCCTGATAAAAACCAGCAATATGTTATGATGAATATTAGACGACGAAGAGTCTTATGAGTGTTCAACGAAAAGTTATTTGAAAAGTTCTATATGCATGTTCTTCACAAATTAGAATAATTCTTTTTTTAAAGAGATTACTTCTGCATTCGAGGAGAGGTTCTGCGTGCCGTCTTTGAAAGCTTAATTCGGGGTTCCATATTCAAATTCCTACTGAATATTTCTTTTTACTGTTTGGTATAGATTTAAATGTGCATGTGTAATGCTTTATTTCTCTTCTGAAGTTTCACATGCATGTGGACCTCTGTGAAACTGCACATATCCTATTGCGAGAGTCGTATATGTTATAATATGTAACTTCACATAACGTTATTAAAATATGAAATTTCGCATGTACAAATAAGGATTGGCCTGTTTATATTTAATATAACTTGTCTCTGATCTTTAGATATTTTATATGGGCGGCGGTTACCATGTAAACTGATACGACTGGATACAGATGATTGAACGGATCCAGAAATGGTTGAAAATCATTTAGTGCATGTATACTGCCTTAGACAAATTACGAAATCATTCAACTTTATAAAGGCTAAACACTAAGTGACTGGTCTTAAAGTAAACTTTATATTGGTTGCTAGGTAATAGAAAGTTGGTGGTTGCTTTGCCTATATAGTAAACGTCTTATACTGGAGTATTACATGAAGGGGCCATCTTTGTTCCTTCATTAGCCACGTTGCAAATGTCTCACAATTGTTTTTATCAAGGTCATATTTTCCGAATTTGAATTGATTCTTCTTGAGTTTTAAAAATCTCTCTTCGGCATCTTTAGGGCTAACGACACTTTGGTCTTTGTATTTTATTTCATAAATTTCGAGATTTTTTTTGTCTACAGGCCCAACGAATTCCTCCACAGAGCACACACCAATTTGTGCCTTGCTCTTATCTTCGCCGCTAAAGTGGATAACTTGGTTGTTGCCCAAATACACTCCGTGATGATAATAATATTTTCCACCAACAACTAAAGGACAAACGGCGGCTTTAACGGTCGATTCTATTCCTTCACAAGGACGTTGCACTGCAATTTGGGTAAATGGCGATAAATTTTTGATATCGCACCTCTGAATCTTGCAGTACGTGTATTTGAGATTAGTCATTATCCTATCACTTTAACTCGAAATATTGGTGCTGTGGTCAATTCGTTCGTCAAAGTCGATAGATTTAATCTGGTTTGTTGAGATATCAGTACAGAATTCGGTCAGCATAAACCAGTTTAACGGCATAAACCGTTTATCAAAGACACTTTATTGTATACAACTTGGATGTTTAAACAATACAACCTTTTAATGTATTTAGCGTAACTTAACAAGCTGTTATAATACACTTCACGCTCCGACTAATTCTAAAACATCCTTTCTTTTTTTAACACAACATGTCCTCTCGGCCCAGGCCACCGCGAGCGTCACTACAACAACCCCCTTCTAGTGTATAGCAACATTACGTTGCATACCGTTTTGGTGTCCGTATCACCCTGCATGCCTGCTCTAGTTTGGCGTGGGACGGAGGAAAACTCTTGAAATTCTGCGTCTTGCGATTCCGCACTGCCTGTTTCTATCTGTTCGAGTTCACTGTCTGCAGGGCACGCAATAGACTCATCCTCATCTTCTCGATGATTGTCTATAAACGCCGGCTTTAACCGATCTAGCGAAACTGTATCATCGCGATCACCGATATCGAGCTGAAAGTACTTGTCTAACCGGCGGAGTACGCGATATGGCCCCTTATATGGCATGTCTAGTGGTTTTTGTACGTGGTAATGTGATTCGTTTGTCCTTTAGCACATCATAGGCATTCGTATTTGGTTTGTTGATGATAAGGTCACGAATATCAACAGCCACTTCCGGCGGAAGTGTAGCGACGATATAATGAAATTTTGTGTCTTGATTAGTGATTTTTCGCGTGGTTAACTGGGATTCCACTTGAGCAAACCATAGTAATAATAAGTACGCACGACGTTCAACACAGTTTACAACGTGACATGTATATAACGCATCTGCTGATTGGTCCGAAGCCCGTATTTGGATCAGGCTGCAGGATCAGACCATCCTAGTGAGCTCTATATAAATATGGAGTAGTAACTTGGTTGCTAAGAGTGATGCCAAAGATGGGGGAAATTGAAGGAGCTATTGGAAGACACCCCACTCCTCCTAAGTGGGCGGTCAAATATTTTTCATTGTTTTCACCGCGCTTGTGGGTTTTTTAAAAAAATTTATAGCAATCTGTTTCTCTGCATCTACCTTATCTGACTACTATATTTTCCAACTACAGTGTGAGTAAATACGAATTTTTCGCTTTGAGTTCAAGTACGCTTCAAACTTTTGCTTTAGCTTTCGAGTAAGTTTTGTTTTTTGCCTTGTAATTTTGACACAGTTTTAAGACACTGATAATCCTTTATTTTTGCCAATCGTCCTAGCATGGGGCAGTTTTTCATCCCGTATGAAAAGTTCGTATAAAAATGCGATTTTTTTGTATTTTGAAACTCGTATGTTTCGGATAAATTCTTTGCAAGTTATTGTTTTTATGGAAGATAGCTTTCTATGTATCTTTTCTCTTGAAACTGAGATAAGGTAACATTTTATTTGTATTTTTTTAGTGTATTCTGTTATTTGCGAGAACGTCAACAACCTACACTCACTTCTCTTGAGATATTGCACCATCTTACGCATCTGATGTTACACGAAATTTGATTGGCTCTATGGAGCCAATCAAACTTCGTGTAACATCAGACTTTCCGCGTTTGACGAGATGAGACCTTTGCTGGGATGATTAATAACTGTTTAATGTGAATGTGAATGTTTAATAAATATTCGTAATTTGAAGACGATCACGTGATTGCAAATTTGCGTTGTAGTGTTTCATAGTTTTATTTGACCCGACTGTTTACAAAATGTATAGCTTCGTTCGCTTCTCTCACGAACTTGGGAGAATTTAAGGTTGCAACTTAGAATTTGACTTCTATACTTTCGACATTTAAATCAAACTTGGAACACTACCTGACTACCTTGTTGTTAATGGCAAGACTTTTTCGAGGCATTTATTTCTCTCGTTAATGTTTTTGTAAATAACGAAATATTTTAGCCTTCCAATAAATATTTGTGGTTCTCGCACACTGATCTTATAATACTACACTGGATTTAGAAACCATGCCTGTTAGAATTAACTACTTTCATTGAGAGAATTAAGTTAATTAACACATCACGAGAACCCCGGAACGGTAACTTTATATTTTAATAGTCAGGACTAACTCGGTCAGGTTCCAAATCAATCTCAAAGTCTAGCGTGGAAAGTTTAGTAATCTTGGCTTTGTTTTGGGATAGGTATGGTTGCTACATCCTGTGTAATATAAGATCAGTGACCTCTTCCTCGAATTTTAAACTTTATTCCGAGAAATTCCTTTGCGAACGATCCTCACTGACAGCTCTGTCATGCAGGCTGAGGGCCATAAATTATTCGTCATTGAATAGCCGTATTTATATTAGAGACGGGAAACTTGTCAAATGTAAATCTGGTCACAGACGGGTTTCTCATCCGAATTTACCGGTCTAACTTTCCCGTTTAACTTTCCCGTAAGTTGGACGGGAATCCCGTCAGGACGAAACTCGTTTTAAATTCGCATTTCAGGACGGATGAAATGCTCGGCCGTTACAGGAATGCAAGGCGCGGTAAAGAGGACTAGAGACTAGTCTGATGCTCGGCCTTTGTGTTGGTAGCTTGCATGGGAAAGAATAACAATGTGCACGGGTACCAATTTTAGCCGTACCGTACCAATAAATTCAACTTTGTATAAACGGGCCTAAAAAATATCAGTCATAACACAAGGGATATTTTTGGAAACACTGAAGTTTAAAATGTAAACAAAACGTTTGTTTACACTAAGAGGCTGTTTACATAAGCCCGGTTACCCGAGATTCAACGAAGCGTTAGAGGAATTGGAGGTATTGAAAAAAGTCTTTATGACACCATACAAGAACATGCTATTGTTGTGGTGATTATACGAGTAATACGACTTTTAAGATCATGTTATCTACTCATCTCAATACCTCAAAATCATCTCACGCTTCGTTGAATTTCGGGTAACCGGGCTTATGTAAACAGACCCTAAATGACCGTACGTCATTTTAAAAATTCAAATTAACTCCATGAAAGTTGCTGAAAGAACCTTCAGAATATTTGACACGCTTTTAGTTTGCTCTACTTATGAGAGAGAGAGTTTATGTTCAGAGATTTACAAAACGTGAAAATTCGAGCAATTTTGAAACTGTAAAACAGTTTCGCGGGCTGCCGCTGCTTTGATGTCATCGAGAAGCCGTGAAAATACCTCATTTGAAGACGTCGTAAGAATAACAACCCTGTCGTGGGACAACAAATTATATATGCATACCTATTGTCTCGCGTGTGGGAGTTTCTTTGTTTTGCAAGTGCGTCGTCGAGATGGCCGCGTCGTGAATCGTAAACTCACTACTGAATAACCCGTGAATCGTTGCGTTGCATGAAAATAGCCCAACCTAACGTTAAGCGTAGGTAAATGTAACCTTAAGTAGAGGTCAAAGTAACATTGATTGATAATAAACAATGATAAAGATTAGGCTCCCAGCGCTTTTGATTACAAATAGCGGTATTAAATTGCATAGTGTCATATTATCACTTTACGTTTGCACAATCGTTGCTGCAGATTATCATAGAATCACAACAGTCAACATAGTTCCTTCGCTTTGCCCCGGAAAGGTTTTTTGAAACATGGCTTCGAGATGGTTAAAAGCCTTAAAAAAATGGCGGAAATATCTCATATTGTTGCTAACGCCCATCCTATTGTCCCCTATACCGTTGGCTTTGCAAGACAAGGTATTGTGAAATTAACGAGGTTTTTTTTAACCAAAGAAGATTAGCAGCAATCAGACACGCGACTCATGTGAAACCCGCAGTTTAATTGCTAGATTGGCTGTTTTCACGCTAGAGACGCATAATGCGTTAAGGCTGTTTTCCACTAGGCGGAATTTTCCGCGCGGAGCGGAAAATTACGCTCGAAAAGTTTCGAGAGGAAAGGCTTTTCAATTTCCACAAGTATCCGCTGCGAGCGAAAAAGTTGGAAAATTAATAAAACGCGCGAAAATCAAATCTCAAATTCAACATGTCGAGTGTAAAACAAAAACAACTGCAAAGATTAATAATTTTAGTTGTGCTTCGTAGGCGACTAGAAAGACAAAATGAAAAATACAAGAAGCGGTTTTGGGTGCGGAAGATTTATCAAGAACGCATTTTAAAAGGAGAATTCCACCTGTTAATCAAAGAAATGGTCCTTTTTGACCACGAGTACTTTTTTCGTTGTTTCAGAATGGTACCAGAAACTTTTGAAAAACTTCTTTCTTGGGTTTCTCCTTACATACAGAAAAAAGCAACAAAAATGCGTGAGCCCATTTCACCCAGTGAAAGATTAGCAGTTACTTTGAGGTACCTAGTCACGGGAGATGAACAAACCAGTATAGCAGCTAGTTATCGCATAAGCCCTTCGACCGTAGGAAGGATTATTGGTGAAACGTGTCAAGTTCTTTGGCATGTTTTGATCGAAAACGGCTACTTAAGTGCACCAAAAACTAAAGAACAATGGAAGAAAATTGCTAGAGAATTTGAGAGTAAATGGAACTTTCCACATGCACTTGGTGCCATCGATGGGAAACACGTAGTAATGCAGGCACCTGCTCGTTCTGGATCTGATTATTTTAATTATAAGAAGACACATAGTATTGTGCTTTTAGCAGTCTGTAATGCAGACTACGAATTTACTCTCGTGGACATTGGTGATGCAGGTAGACAGAGTGACGGTAGTGTGTACGCTAATAGCTATCTTGGTCATGCCATAGATAATAATCTATTGAATCTCCCTGGGTCTGAAAAGCTATTCCAACCTGACTCATCAAACAAAACCTACCCTTATGTATTTGTCGCGGACGATGCTTTTGGACTCAAGACTTTCATGATGAAACCTTACCCAGGACAGAACTTAACCCTTGCAGAAAGGGTGTTCAATTATAGACTATCAAGGGCACGGCGAATTATTGAGAATTGTTTTGGGGTTGCAACATCACGTTTCCGAGTGTTTCGAAAACCAATCATTGCAAACGTGGAGAAGGTGATAAATATTACCAAAGCAGTTGTTGTTTTGCACAACTTTTTAATGGCAACAAGATCTCCAGAGGATACCCACAGTTACTGCCCACTTAGCTACACAGATCATGAATCAGCAGCTGGTCAGCAAACTGGGGAATGGAGAAGGGAAGGAAACATTGAAGGAATGGTCCCTATTCCGCAAATTGGTTCAAACAACTATTCTAAATCAGCCAAAAGTACTCGTGATGACTTCAAGGAATATTTCAATTCACAACAGGGTGCTGTCAGCTGGCAAATGGAAATGGTTACGCGAACCTTACATTCACTTGACAATTAAAATACTGTTTAATTCACATCTTAAAAAAGAAACTCTCAGTAAATGAATCATACTGTACAACTTTAACTTTAAAATTTTGAGTGTCTATTGTTTTTAGAGAAAGTCACTCTATTTTGATGAAATTAGTCACAGTTCATCATTAAACTCTATATCAAACAAAAGTTGATTTATTTTTATTTTGGCAAGCCTATTTTGTCTTGCAGGCATCTTTTTAAGTATTGGTACAAGGCTTTTGCAAAATAATAAATCTTCATCTTGATCAGTAACAGTGGGTTCTTGCATATCCTTCAATGTCTTCACCAACATTGTATCTACTGCAAATGCCATTTCTGCTCTTGACTTACTTCGCTTTGCAGGTGTATTTGCAATAATTTCAGTCTCTGCTTTACTTTTTCCTGGAGCAGAGGCTGGAATACTCTTTGATGATGTTGGAGTTGAGGTCTCGGGGCAGAGCACTGACTGGGTTACAAAACTAGTAAGTGCAGAAGAATTATTGACTGCTAAAGATGAATCTTCAACATCAATCACTGGTGTCAAATTGCTTTCTGTAGGTTTGTTACAGACTTTGCCATGCAGAAATCTCAACTGATCAAAATACTTGCATGTGGGCAACTTTGATGCAGCTGCCCCTGATTTTGTAGCCTTGGATCTCCTATCAAGGCATTTCTTCAAGTTATCTTTCAAATATTTCAACTGTGTCTTTAAAAATTCCACTGTAAATACAATGAAATACTTTTAAAGTGCATGCAAATCATATTAACAAATGAAAATAAAGAGATAACATGGCAGCATGTAGACTTTACAATAATTTTTCTTAAGAAAATATATTCTAGCAGCATTATTATAAATCTATATTCACTATCTTGCATGCTTATTATGGTAAATTCTTCACCTTTAAATCCTACACTATTAAATTAATGGAATGTGGGAAATGGGTGGGATTTGATGTAGACTAGCATTTCTACTTTAAGGCCATGTAAATCTTTCTCTAAAAGCTCCTTATCATCATTTTTTGACAAACTATTGCACTGCATATCACATAATATAACAGGTTAATTTGAAAAATCATAACTGTGAATAGTATTATTAAAACTGTTCATTAAAGAATTCCTACCATCTTTGTTAAATATGTTGGAGAGAATTTTCCATGCATTTTGTTTTGCATTTCTGTCTTTGTAAGAAGATAAAGATGTATTCCACAAACATCCAAGTTTCCGAATTTCTTCAATAAATAACTCAACCTCAAAATCTATTGACATTCCCCTCTCCTCTTCTCCTGCCTCTATGTTGGTTAAAGGAGCTTCACTTGAGTCTATTGCTGGATTAGCTATGAGTTTTTTTCAAAAAATGAAATATTAATATTTATAAAAATAAAAATGTTTTTTACAATAAAGAAATTTGAACTAGGATAATTTATGATGTATGATCTATGAATGACGAAACTTTGTGTAATCTAAGTTTACTTGGCTGTATAAAATTTTGAAAAAAATATAAAAAATATATAAATGTGTTCATTTGATTTGCTATAAAAAATTTCAGTTAAAATACTACTATACATTGAAGAATTTTATAGTACTTCAAAGCGAAATCAATTGAAATCAGTGGTATTATAATGGGAAAATTACCGCAAAAAACACCCTTGAAAAATATCAAGGGATATATGATAATATTAAATAAAAAAAGTTGGTGTAAATTGTATAATTATTATTCACCTTGCTCTGTTGCACTATTAAATTTGAAATATTTTGAGAAATGTTTCCCACTTGCTTTTCCTGTCGTTGCTGTTGTATGTGACCAAACAGTTCAGTAACTGACCCTTCATCCATTGCAATAAGTTGCTGTTGTTCCTCGGACCTTGCAAGAAGCTCTTTTAAGGAATTTATGCTAGAAATATATCTTTCACGGCTTTCTTCACTCATATTCCTGTCGGCCATGTTGCTCATTGGACGGGCGGAAAGCGGAAAAAGTCGGATTGGATTGAACTTCCAAGCGAAAACGCCATAGCGCCAAACGCAAATATTAAATAGATATTGCGCATGCTCAAAATAGTTTTTGAGCGTAATTTTCCGCTCCGCGCGGAAAATTCCGCCTAGTGGAAAACAGCCTTAATGGACACACACGGCCTTATCCACGGGCGCTATTGCTCGGTAAAATGCGAAAACTTTCGCCTGTTTCTTTTGAATTGTTACCACTTGTATCAATTAATTCTGTTGATTACTCACAATTCAAAGGGAGCAAGCGAAATATTGCGCATTTCGCCGAGAAATAGCGCTCCTGGTCGTGAAACCAGGGCTTAAGCGTCTTCAATATTTTTAGACTGGCGGTTATTCGTCTTCGGTATTAAGTCGACAACAGGGGCCGGTTTAGCTTAAACGGTGGATAAGCTCAAAATAGAAAGCAAATCTATCGTTTTATTCAACAAGCAAACTGAATGGTTTTGACCATAATACAAAGATACTGTTTACAACTACATATTCAGTGCATAATATTCAAATTGACTCATTCAAGAGAGATGTAAGAGTGCTATGTAATTTTGACTTATTCTAAGTGCAGTCAAGCGTAACATCAGGTATATAAGACTGAGATGTTAGTAAATCAGGGTCAGTTGTTAAACGCTACTCCCGAGAAGCAGTCGAGATGGCCAAAGCACACGATCCAGCCGAGGTTCAAATTGTCTTGCCACCAGTCGCCAACAAACAAGTCGAGGTGGAACAACAGCCGCAAGTTGCTCCGGAGCAAATACCTGCTCGCAATCAAGCAGATGCTCAGCTGCATGGTCATGCTCCACCGGTTGGGTATGTCTCATACTATAGGCGAATTTTTAGCGGGTGTTGTCGCTTTATATCGACCTTTCTGTTGGTTGTTAATGTTTGCCTCAGACTTCCAGGGTACTGCGTAGTCCAAGAAACAAAAACAAAACAAAACCAAAGTCTGTTAGACTTCGGGTTTAGCTATGTTAGGATTTGCCGTATCATTAGGTCTTTAGAGCACAATAAAATTCCTCCGTGCAACTCATTTCACGCCGAATGATTACTTTGCTTTCGGGGGTTGTTCATATACTGTCTGTACTCTGTACCCATACGCTTGCCCTCCTAAGCTCATTCTCTAAGTTAATTTTACTTTCGTAAGGGACGTCGACTGGGTTTTTCAAACTTTCGGCGCTTTACTATGCTCTCAATTTACAATTTGTTGAGTGTAATTTGCTCAGGGCACGCTAATGTCATAATAGAGAGGTTAAGATACCCCGGTTCCGGTGTACGGGTACGGGTAGCGCCATTTTGTTTTCCATTTTTCGCTGATGTCAGCATATTTACCCGTAATATCTACCCGTTTTCCCGTTGTAAACGACGGTCTACACGTAAACAACGAACGGGTAACTACAAAGACAAAGTGGTCAAAGTTTTTTTAATAAAGGACAAATGGAGAAGCGGGTGAGTGTCTTTAACACGTTTAAAATACATTTTACGTATTAATATGGTGTTAACGTTCATATTGTTCAGGCTTCTCAAAAATGGTTTGCAAACATAATTTATGAACGCCATCTTGATATTTTTGATTTTCAAAACAAACACACGTAATACTATAGTTATATAAAAGTTAAGTAGGACTTACAATGGAAATGTATAATACATATTTACTTTTATATTCAGTTCTTACCCGGTGTTGTTCTTACCCGGAATTTGAGAAAATTCTTAAGTTGCAAACCGTACCCGTCTTACCGATAACGGGTACGTGTAATTCACCCGTACCCGTACACCGGAACCGGGGTATCTTAACCTCTCTAAAGGTTTACAAATTAGTGGTGCGACTCATGACCATTTTGGGTGTCTATTAGCGCCAAGCTTAAGTGTTTGATTAAGTGAGCACAAGTTTCGTTGTGTATATGCGTTATTACGTTTCGGGGGTGACCGAGGAGATTTTAACGTTTATGCATTAAGTGCTTTGACTCGGTAGTGGCCGAGAAAAGAATTTTTAAAATATGTTGACACGGCAGTGGCCGTGAAGAGAAGTAAGGCGTCTATGTGTTTCATGACTCGGTGGTTGCCGAGGAGAAAGTTTTAAGCTGTGTATAATAGAGACCTTAAGATCGACGACGGGAACAGAGAATGCGGGAAACCGGAAGTGTTTTTTTAATAATTGCTTTTGTACGCATGCGTTACCTCCCGTGCTGTGTCGTAGAATACGTCTGGGTAGCTGGTTTGCCGTCTTCTAGAAAACGTGAGTTTTTTTATGATATTTTCTACTTTATTCTGTTAGACATTGAAATATAACCTTTTTGAATGGATAAAATAATGCTTATTTAATGATGGCATAAAATATATACTCGTTTATACAAAGGAAATTGACCGACTTTTCATTTTTAAAATAGGTCTTTCCAAAATGGCTATGCAATCAGTTGAGAAGGATAAACCTTCACGCAGGAAGACTCAGTAAGTGATTAAAATTTCTTTAATTTTTAAGATAAGGAAAACAAATTTTTAAATACACAAGGAAATGTTTACCTTATTTACTATTGATTGCATTTGTCAAAATCACAGATTTTGTAAAAGTGCAGGCTTTTTCAATGCAGATTTAGATGTAAACAAATAAGGTTATTTAGTGAATAGTCAGATATGTACCATTTAAAAGAGGAGTTTTAGCCTTTCTGATTATCTTGTTGTTTACCTTAAACTTCTAAGCTATAGTTTCACATATTTATAGTGGTCACTTATTTATAGCAAATGAATGATTTGTTCCACATTGTGTTTCACTGATCAATGTAAAGTGATTATAACATCAACAGATTATTGCATAGAGCTTTTCAAAAAAATTGCTTACAAGCAAAATTAGTGCAGATAAGGGTTCTTTGGAGATTGTGTTAGAAGAAGTAATGTGTACAAAATCTAATATTTTTTTCATTAATTTAGTGCTATGGTCTGGACTGATTACCATGACATTTTATTGTGCAGAGAAATTTTGGTAAAAAATCCTTTTCAATTTAAGAAGAGTTCAACTCAGCGTGGTCAAGTGTGGTTGGAGATAGCAACAAACCTTTCACATATCAAAGAACCAAAGTTTAAAAACGACTTGGATCAACGTGCAGTTCGGGAGCGATACAACCTTCTATCAAGTAAGCTTCGAAGAAAGTTAAGCAGCGAGGAAAGAGCATCTGGAATAGATACCAATATGTCTGAAGTTGAGGGCATGGTTGAAGAGCTGATTCAGATTGAAGATGATTCTGCAGAAAGAAAAAGATTGGATGATGAGGAAAACAAACGGAAGGCAGATGAAGATAAAGGGAGTGCTAATGATATAAAAGACGAAAAGAAAATGAAGGTGACATTCAGAAAAACAATAAAAAAAAGAGGTCTAATGGCAGTGAGACCATACAGTATTTAAGGGAAAAAAATGAGCTTATGGTTAAGTTTAGAATGGAGGACAAGGAATTGGAAGAACGAAGACAAAACGAGGAAAGAGAAAAGCATGATGAGTTCATGAAAATGATGTTGCAACAGCAGCAACAATTCCAAGCTATGATTATGCAACAACAGCAGCAGCAAAATCAAATTGTGATGGCTGTTATTTCAAAACTTGGATCAAAATGACTTTCTAAATAACACGTTGATGTTTTAATTATATTGATTTGTCGTTTTAATGATGAACACTCATAATTTTGTTTCATAATTTCTTGGCTTTTGCTGCACACTATTTACACTTCAGATGTTGGATGTAAACACAAGATATATTAAAAATGTTAATTTGATCATGCAATTTTCTTTAATTAATGATTTTGTGGATGTAAGTATTCTTGTAGGTTTGGAGGTTCAAGACCAAAGAATGTTGATGTTGTGTTACCATACATGCATGATAATGCATTACTAAGAATTGCACTTGTAATGTAAGCTTTTCCAACAGGACTGAGGGCCACTTTCAAATTTTTCTTAAAATCCATAAATTTGAATCTGTTGATTATGTCTCCAAATAACCATTCTACTGACACCCTTACTGAGCTCATGGATTTATTAAATCTTTCCATGTCGGCTGTTACCACTGCATTCCGGAAAGGGGCTTGGAGGTGAACACGTAAGGGATAGGCTGGGTCTCCATAGATGCACATTGGTTGGCCAGCCTCTGAGAATGCAAATCTTTCAAGGTCTGCAAGAAGCCCTGACTGAGCAAGCATAGAGGCATCATGTTTCTTTCCCTCTAAAATCATTTTGAAAAGAAAAGCATTAAAGAATATATACATGCATAATGTATTTGGTTGATCCAGTCCTGAAATTTAGAGAAAGTGTGTGTGTTGGGGGGGGGGTATACATCTTTCAATGTTTTGGGTTGCACCTCCAGTAAAATGTGTGCAAAAACTTCCAGTAATTAATACATGTAGCTCACTATAACAGTGGAGAGAAAATGTTCAAAACAAAAGTGTCCAAAATTTAAACCTATTACCTACCTACAGGTCCATACAAATGAGCAATTAATCCATTTGGCAAAGAAACTGATTGAAACTTAATGGCGTGAGTTCGTTTGTGCCCATTAAAAGCTGATCTCTGGAGCTTTTTGGGGCGGCAGATGGGTCTCACGGTTCCATCTACGAACCCAAAGCAGTTTTCTAAAGCTGCCCCTTTATGATAGATTGCTTGGGCATATATTTGGAGGTTTCTGGAACTGAGAAGGGAATGGTTCCATCTTGTAACCAAATGCCCATGCTCCTTGTAGATAAAATCAACCACTTCGTTATGAATCATGCTCAATACAGGAGTAGGTTTTCCAAATCGGTGTATAAGATCAGAATAGCGACATGGATATGTCAGTCGTTTTAGGCAGATACACAAGCCCCCAATGCCACTGCATACTGATCCCTGTGGGCAGACAAATTTTTGAGGTAGATTTAATAATTCGGCAAGCATTTCTATATCACTTTTCCTGCATCGAAACTCAGCCATACATTCAAAATCATCCATCTCATGAAAATCAAACTCGCCGATATGTTTATATGGAAACTCTGGGTTTTTCGAGAAGTGCAGTTCATTAAGAAGTAGAAATTCCTCTTCATCGATAGTACCATCATCGAAACTTTCCAGCAGAATTTCTCGAGTGTGTTTAAAAGATGCCATTCGACTTTTCCCGTCTTTGTTTTTAAAAATTCTTAAGGCTTCAAATTTGGTGTGAGAACGGTAGTCTCGACCCGGGCCTCGGGCTCCGAATACCGTCGCCGTCATCAAATCCCGTAGTCGATCTTAAGGTCTCTAATGACTCGGGAGCGACCGAGAATGGAATTTGAAATGTGTTTTATGACTCGGTTGTAGCCGAGGAGTGAATTTAAAAATGGGACATGACTCGGACCGACGAGAGAATTTCAAAATGCGTTTAATGACTCGGTAGAGGCCGAAAAGAGAATTCTGGATTTGCTTCATGCCTCTGTAGTGGCTGAGAAGAGAATTCTGAACGTATATTGACTCGATCGCCGCCGAGAAGAAAATTTTAAACGTGTAATTACTCGGTAGTGGCCGAGGAAAGAATTCTAAATGTGTAATGACTCGGCAATACCCGAAAGAGGAATTTTAAATGTGTTTTGATGACTCGGTAGTGGCCGAGAAGACCAATTGAATGTGTCTAATGCTCGGTAGTGACCGATAAGAGAATTTTAAATGTGTCTAATCATTCGCTCGTGACCGAGAGGAAAATTTTAGATGACCTCCCGGTAGTGACCGAGAGGAGATTTGTAAACATGTTTAACGGCTCAGTAGTGGCCTACAAACAGCATGCTAAATGGTGATCCCCCTGCAGTGGACGAGAATACAATTTTTTAATGTCCTTAACAACTCGGTAATTGCCGAGAGGGACATTTGAAACGTGTTTGATGACTCGGTAGTAACGTATTTGTTCTGCATGCTGACGCACGAATATTTCACATCATTTCCCTTGTCCTGGGTACGCCATTCGCGGGTATTGCTTGAGTTTAAGTATAGTTGTCGAGTTTGGAGACGTCTACAACAGTTTTAATTTAACGAAATATTTCAAATTGAGGCATGATATACAACTGTAGTTCACATGAACTGTAAATGATTTCCTAATGGTCAAAATATCACGATATCAACATAATTTGTTTCCTGTGTTCGTTGTTCTTCTTTACGGTTGCGCTGATAATGACTTCGGTAAATACCTACCGAAAATGACCACGTTCTGGGATTGCCTTTTCGAAGCAATAGTATTCTATTCCAACTGCATTCCTGCTAACATCAGCTCACGGGAGATAGAGTTACGGGAAATGCGAGCCCTGTCGCCATACCACGCCTACAACCCGGCTGGATCGTTTCGAACCCCCTCCTTGCCCCAAAACTTCCCGAAACTACAATCCCAACCCTACTCCCCGAAACTACTTTCCCTCCTAGTTCCCAAAACTAAAGACCTGAATCCATCTCAAAATTGAGCTAATTGGGAAAGAAAGGTTCGAAGTTAACTAAATTGTCACAATTGCGGAATTCGATGCCCAACTCTTCAGCTGGGCTACACCGAGTCCCTGCCGCAAGCAGAATACTGTCATTCAACGTTTCGACGGTGGTGACGGCCGCTAAAACTTTATCCAACTGTGTGTAATAGTCCACCATCAGCGTGGATGACCAGCCGATATGCTGAGCAATTTCATTCTTGGATGCGCCAAGAAGACCCAGCAGAATAGCCGCACCCCCTCTGAAGCCATGCACCGTCTCACGGGTATACAGGCCCAGGTCTTTTAAATATGTCACAAGCCTCGCTTGAGCCGCCGACGCCGGGAAGGGAGAAGTCGATACGGAGGTATTCTTAACGGTCGTACGAAAAGGAAAGCCGGAGCCCAAGTTGATGCGCATAGCAGGGCATAGCATACGGTAAATTATTTAGAAATTACCCACAGCCCTGACTCGCCCGTATTGCCGGTCCCAGGTAACCCCTAAGGGCATAAAGGCATTAGACGCCCGCACCCAGGTCCGACAACAGCCGAGTCAAGTGATGTCGCACGACGACCGAGAGAAGGTCATTAGTATGTTTTTAACTGAATCATTGGGTGGGCACCACTCATATGAACAGGCCTTGCGATTCGTCGATTGTGACAATAAGAGACACTGAAGCAATAGAAATTGTCGGTCTAAAGGAAGGGTCAATGATCACTATTGCTTCGAAAAGGCAATCCCAGAACGCGGTCATTTTCGGTTGGTATATCATGCCTCAATTTGAAATATTTCGTTAAATTAAAACTGTTGTAGACGTCTCCAAACTCGACAACTATACTTAAACTCAAGCAATACCCGCGAATGGCGTACCCAGGACAAGGGAAATAATGTGAAATATTCGTGCGTCAGCATGTAGAACAAATACGTTACTACCGAGTCATCAAACACGTTTCAAATGTCCCTCTCGGCAATTACCGAGTTGTTAAGGACATTAAAAATTGTATTCTCGTCCACTGCAGGGGGATCACCATTTAGCATGCTGTTCGTAGGCCAATACTGAGCCGTTAAACATGTTTACAAATCTCCTCTCGGTCACTACCGGGAGGTGATCTAAAATTCTCCTCTCGGTCACGAGCGAATGATGAGACACATTTAAAATTCTCTTATCGGTCACTACCGAGCATTAGACACATTTAAATGCTATTCTCGGCCACTACCGAGTCATCAAAACACATTTAAAATTCCTCTTTCGGGTATTGCCGAGTCATTACACATTTAGAATTCTTTCCTCGGCCACTACCGAGTAATTAAACGTTTAGAATTTTCTTCTCGGCGGCGATCGAGTCAATATACGTTCAGAATTCTCCTCTCAGCCACTACAGAGGCATGAAGCAAATTCAGAATTCTCTTTTCGGCCTCTACCGAGTCATTAAACGCATTTTGAAATTCTCTCGTCGGTCCAAGTGATGACCCATTTTTAAATTCACTCCTCGGCTACAACCGAGTCATAAAACACATTTCAAATTCCATTCTCGGTCGCTCCCGAGTCATTATACACAGTTTAAAACTTTCTCCTCAGCAAACCACCGAGTCATGAAACACATAGACGCCTTACTTCTCTTAACGGCCACTACCGTGTCAACATATTTTAAAAATTCTTTTCTCGGCCACTACCGAGTCAAAGCACTTAATGCATAAACGTTAAGATCTCCTCGGTAACCCCTGAAACGTGATAACGCATATACACAACAAAACTTGTGTTCACTTAAGGCGATTCTCCATTACGTTCGCTCCGCCCGCGCGGGCGAAGCGCGCTTTGTTTTTCAGGCCGGTCACGGTCGCATAGGCAGAATTTCAAAGGCCGCTTCGCCCGCGCGGGTGAGGCGGACGGTAATGGAGAATCGCCTTTAATCAAACACTTAAGCTTGGCGCTAATAGACACCCAAAATGGTCATGAGTCGCACCACTAATTTGTAAACCATTATGACATTAGCGTGCCCTGAGCAAATTACACTCAACAAATTGTAAATTGAGAGCATAGTAAAGCGCCGAAAGTTTGAAAAACCCAGTCGACGTCCCTTACGAAAGTAAAATTAACTTAGAGAATGAGCTTAGGAGGGCAAGCGTATGGGTACAGAGTACAGACAGTATATGAACAACCCCCGAAAGCAAAGTAATCATTCGGCGTGAAATGAGTTGCACGGAGGAATTTTATTGTGCTCTAAAGACCTAATGATACGGCAAATCCTAACATAGCTAAACCCGAAGTCTAACAGACTTTGGTTTTGTTTTGTTTTTGTTTCTTGGACTACGCAGTACCCTGGAAGTCTGAGGCAAACATTAACAACCAACAGAAAGGTCGATATAAAGCGACAACACCCGCTAAAAATTCGCCTATAGTATGAGACATACCCAACCGGTGGAGCATGACCATGCAGCTGAGCATCTGCTTGATTGCGAGCAGGTATTTGCTCCGGAGCAACTTGCGGCTGTTGTTCCACCTCGACTTGTTTGTTGGCGACTGGTGGCAAGACAATTTGAACCTCGGCTGGATCGTGTGCTTTGGCCATCTCGACTGCTTCTCGGGAGTAGCGTTTAACAACTGACCCTGATTTACTAACATCTCAGTCTTATATACCTGATGTTACGCTTGACTGCACTTAGAATAGGTGTATCAGTTCTAAACTGCTCTTCCTAGAGGTCCAGTAAGGATCAGCTCTTATTGATCCAGTATTACTGAGGAAACCTAAACTAAACTAACCTTATATTCGAATCGGTGCGAAGCACCGGGAGAGGGTACTAATTCCGCCCAGAGATTTGTTACATGTCCAAGGAATGCCTGGTAAAGGGTCTGAAAATATACGCCGATTTGTTAGAAAATTCAAATTAGTCTTAGCCCGTCTTAGTCCGCGATATAATGTAGTAATATATGCCATATATACGCATGTATATGTTGTATATGTTGAAGAACTTAAAAAACTGCTTAGTCTTTCAATAAACGAAGACGAAGGCAATGATATGATGTCCTTGTTACTGATAATATTTGTGTATGCTATGCGATATATTCCCGCAAACCATAAACAGTAATATGATACTCTACTATTGTAAATGCCACATTGCCACTGTTTTGCAATAGCGCGTATCGAAATATATCAAACACACACTAACACAGGTCCGTTTATCTACATAAATACTCAAGAAACACCATTCTTGCTGATCTAAATTGAACTTCAATGTCTTAAGAAACGACACTGGCCGTGCACAATGCACATTAAGACACCAAGGCCAACATCACTATAATTCATCATGAATGCATG